CAACGACAGGTTTTAACAATTTCATGGAGTTGGAGTTGACTGCAAAGAGGTAATAGAAACTTAAAGAGGAGGATTCACTCGGTTGCTCATTCTTTCATTCGCTCGTACGTCATTTATTAGTTCACCTACTTGTCCAATGGTCTGTTCATTCATTATTTTAATCATTCATTTGATTATCTTTTTATTTACTCTTTTGCTAATTCTCGAGGCTCACCGTGGCTTTAGGTTTCGTACAGCAACTTCAGGAGGTTGGTGCTGGTCTTTGGTCAATCAGGTAAGTTTGACTCGATGGCAACCCGACGAACGTGGCTGAAGCTTAGGTTAGGTTTTCGGTTCGATCACTGTTACAGGGAGAGTAAAAAAACGTTGAATTGAGGTTCAAAGTTCCAAACAAAACAATATACACACTCTCCTGCAACTGTCCGATTCCTCAAGCGCTAAAATTTCATCAAATTTTCGATCCTTCCAATTGTTATATTCCCCAAATTCGACTTTAGCAATAACAAATGTCATTGTGAATCGAATAAAACCGTTTCAGTCGCAACAGGACCTCGGATATCACAGCATTTTTATGGATAGTTTGAAATCGATGTTGTCTCTTTATGAGTTTAATTAACGATCAGTAAAATTGATAACAGTAAAAATACTAATAATGCCAAAATATGCAAATTTGATCAACGTTAGAGATAGAATGAGAAAAACTTTGAATTCAGGTAGAAAATTTGTAAACAAAGCAATATGCACACTCTCCTGCAGCTGTTCGATTCCTCAAGCGCTAACATGTCGTCAAATTTTATATTTTTGCATTAGTTTTATTCCCCAAATTCGACTTTTATATAATAAGTCTCATTACGAATCTAATAGAACCGTTTCAACAGGAATAGGACCTCTGATGTCACAGCAACTTTTATGGATTATTTCAAGCCGATATTGTAATTTAATGAAATAAATCAACGACAAGTAAAATTGACAGCAGTGGAAATACTGATAATAGCAAAATATGCAAATTTGATCAATGTGAAAAACGGTGCTAGAAGACAAATGGAAGAATGTATGAACTCTTCTTACACTGTTCGATTCCTCAAGCGCTAAAATTTCATCAAATCTTATATTGTTGCATTTGCTTAACCCCTGAAATTCGACTTTTATGTTACATATGTCATTATGAATCGAATAGAACCGTTAGGATATCACAACGTTTCTTATGGATATATTTAAACCAATATTGTCACGCAATTAAATGAATCAATGGCCAGTAAAATTGGTAGCAGTGAATATAATGATAATAGCAAAATATGCAAATTTGATGAACGTTAGAGATAGAGTGCGAAAAACGTGGCTAAAGGGCTAGAAAAACGCTTAGACATATTCTGTATTTTAAGCCTAGATTAAGCCAAGGCTTTGCCTTAAACCTAGGTTTGACAATAAGCATATATCTAAACCCAGTCTTCGGGGACATTATACACTGAAACCTATGCTCCAATGTAATTGAAAAACTAAACCTAAGCTTCAGATTTAATTTAAGCCAGTGTCTTCAGCTACATTTCGAAAATCGATTATACGAACCCTGTCATAACCGGGCTCTTTATGCGGTTGAGAGCTTCAGGATATAATTGTTAAATAGCATTTATTTTTCAAAGGTTGATAATATATGTTAATCTGTTGCGGAACGTAGCTGGGAAATATCTGGTTATATGGAGAAGTACATAGGTCGAGATTTTATACAATTGTCAATCCGGTAATTCACGGTCTCAGTTCTATATATTTTGAGATGTCGACGGTGAAGGCAGCAAAAGGAATTCAATCAACTATGGCCATGCAAGTGTGTACTGCGTCTTGCCGTGTAACACTGAAGAAAAGATATAATATTTTCTTCGTTTAATATTTTCAATGCAGCCTGAGAAGAGTGACGTAGGAATCATCCTTCGATTTACAAGTTAAATAAAGCCAGTGACTGTGGAATATCAATGTGTCATACACGTTTCTGTGCCGCTAGTACAGTGTTGGGGTGATATGAAGCAACATCAACAGGAATGTGACGAATATAGCTTGTGGGTTTCTGTTTCTTTCCCATGAAATGATGTTTTATTACCAACCTAAGACGGATCAAAGATGAGCGTCCCTGGCCAGCACGGCAGCCATGACCCCTGAACCGTAAGTCCAACTCTCTACCGACTGAGGAACCTCCTCTTAGATGACTGAAGAGATGATTCCAATCCAAACACGGCAAACCTCCCACATAAACCGTTGCTTCCCTCCAGCACGGAATTGTGAATGTCGCATGATTGGCGTTGAGACGGTTGTGTCAACATACTGCGACTCTAGAAGATAGATTCGTTGAACTTCTTTATAATTACTGAACAAACCCCAGCTCTACTTACATGCCGTATACATACATGCATACCATACTCTGAGTCTGGGTCATTGTCAGAAAAGACTAAGAGGGTATTCTGTGGCGAGCCCTGATAGCCACTGCCATAGCAACGTTGGCAATAACCTTCTTTAAGAACTTCTAATCGGGACGATGGAAATAGTGATGGAGAAACGTTGTAGTACAGTGAACTCAGAGGTGGTCAACTAGTCTGTGGCCAGAAAATAGTCATGTTGGATAGATGCGTGGCTATGCTGTTTAATGCGCATATTTTAAACGATTTAAATCTACGGGAATCCTTTTATAAATGATTCTAGCGTCAATTTAAATATAGAATCTGCAATCGATTTATTATATAATACTGTTGTGTCTGTATCTTATATCACATTGATCAGAGGAATGTTATGTTGCGTGATGGGGTTTTAGCATGTATACTCAATATGGAAATGTTAAGTATACAGTGAGTTGGTACACTTGATATGCGAACAAATATCTTAATCAATTTCTGCAGCGAAACGCGGTGCCCCAACGGGCCTTTAAACAAAACAATTTAAACTGTCTGTGCTTACTAGTACCTGTCAGTTTCAGTTACTTATTTCAAACGATTATCTTGCATTTTGTATGTAGCAATGCAATGTACTGCATACTTAATGAAACGAGTCTAATATGCATAAGTAATATGTTTATCCATGCTTAATAAAATATGCAGAACTATAGAAACGACTGTTTCCAGTGGTCGTCATCGTTGCCTATTTTAATTATTTCGCATCAACCGAGTAGTTCTGAAGTATTATAAGATCTTTTATATGCTATGCCATGATTTATTGAACATGAGCATTACTTTGCCTAAAATGTCTCATGTAATGAATCACCCTAGTTTTGGAGCTGAACACATATCAGTGCACAGAAAACACTTTGTGGTCGCTAGATCACAATTATTGTGTGATAAAGTTCATTTAAGTGCGTGTACGGTAGTGATGTCAAACCCTGATGTGACTGGTCAATTGTGACGAATTGATTAGGCAGCTAATACGCTGCGAACTGTGGTCCAGGTTTTACTGTCTACCGTTTTTACTGGCTTAGCCAATTTGTCTGGTAGATTCGAAACCTGAGCATCAATGAAAAGGGGTGAAGAACTATCAACATGCAACAGCACAGCGGCTATGGAAAGAAGAATGCCTGACGAATTTCCATCAGGGACAAGAGGCAAAAATGAGGGACGGGAATGCAGGACGTTGTACCATTTTCAGAAGAAAGAAAATGACAATATGCAAATCACATCGTACGATGGGCTTCACCGGTACTGATTGGTACCCAGGAACTGTCAGCCTCCAACTGGAAAACTTCAGCCCAAATTTGTCAGTGAGCGAAAAGAGGATATGAAAGCTCGTGACGATGAATAGCACGAGACCGAGTAACCTGTGCATCGAGACTTAGCATAAGTGATCCTCGTAAATTACGAAGAAGGATCAGTCAAGATTAATCTCAATAATAATTAATTAGATTAATCTCATGGTACTAAATTTGCTGTTTATGTTCATTTCGATGACCCAAACACAGTTTCAGTGCGCAGGAAGCACAGCATGCCATCGTTTGTCAGTAATGTTTGTTTAATATGGTTTTTCAAGGTAGGCTTACGGTAGTGTTGCCTGATTATGCATACGCTAGTTAATTGTAGTGTATCCGCTGATTCACTGATGTCTTGCAAATTGTGGCTCCCATTCCACTATCTACTGCATTGATTTGCTCATTTAATTTGCAAAAAGAAAGAAAAAAATTCTGATCACACCTTGTATTAATTATTGCATAGGATAACCAGCTATCAGATGGACTAAAGACACCAGAGGCTCGCTACGCACTCGGTCTATTCTGACATGAACAGACCTGAATATCTTTCAGTTCCTCTTATTCGAAAGTAAACGACTTGTTACCAATTTTTGGGCTACTTGTGCCAAAGCAAAGTTGAGTTAATTTCATGCTCAAGGGAGTTAGCGAGGTAGACTAGGAATATATGGAAGGAGTCTGTTCCAGACTCCAATATATGGAAGGAGTCTGCTCCAAACTCCATTTGTCTTTTGCCGAAGCTGTGACTCTGGCACAGGATCGGGAACGTCGGAAGCTCTGTCTGACGTGTCTGCCTCCGCGACCCGAAAGGAGCAGCGGCGATGGAATACGATGATGATGATGATGGTGGTGGTGGTGATGATAATGATGGTGGTGATGATGATGATGATGGTGGTGATGATGATGATGATGATGGTGGTGATGATGATGATGATGGTGGTGGTGATGATGATGATGGTGGTGGTGATGATGATGATGATGATGGTGATGATGATGATGATGATGGTGGTGATGATGATGATGGTGGTGATGATGATGATGGTGGTGGTGATGATGATGATGATGATGATTAGGATTGTCTCCTGAGCGGATTTGCACCCAGCCCTTCAACTTACAAAGCGAACCCTTAGGCATTGTGCCACCTGGCCCTAACTAGTTTGATAGTACTAAATTTGCCTATTTTATAGTTTTTTTCCTTGATGATGACCGATGCCAAATCGGTCAAAGCGTTGGATCTGCGTCAAATAAATAATTTCCTTCCGTTCTTTCCAGAATTGAAAGAAGTGTCTGCTTCTAGCCATCAATGTCACGCTGTCGATAGGAATTTACGAAGAATTTGCCAAATTCTTTTGTAACTGAATATCTAATGATATTTTTAATCTCTACTTAATCAAAAAAATAATTTTTCGCCATGAATTAAGCTTTTTCACAAATACACGGTAATGATGTACATTTTTTGCGAACTGAACCTTGAACTACTGGGTGACGTTAATTATTAACTTGGGAATGTAAGCGCTCGAATGTATGCCAAATCTGAAACTCATTACAGACTCATGTTTCAGTTCAGTAATTTCTGTTCAGGTCGATCTTCGAATCAATTTTGATTGATGTGAGCAACTCGGCGAACACGGAAGGTAGCAAATCTAAGACAGAATAAACAAAAATTAATAGGAAAACACAGGTACTGTAAGCGAGATGGCACAAATGCATTGTGCGGAGTTCTTCCTCTCTAATTTGTGAGAGTCCATTGAAGCTGACCACTGCTCAGTGGCACTGGACTGCATGTAGCGCAAGATCCCCCCTGGGATAACAAGGAATCAAAATGAATCTCAGAAGTCAAGTGAAACTCCTTTTGGCATCCGTGAATCTTCCAGATTTCCAATATGTCACATTGTACAGAAAAACCATTTATTTCATTTTCAGTATTAGATTTCCTGGTTGCAAAATCTGCCACAGAATATGATGATCAGAGTTTTCAATCAACTTCAGTGAATCTGACACTTTTGTTGGACCGAGCTGATAAACAGGAGAGAAAATGTCCCAGCATTGCATGAAATGCATAACATGAATCGCACTGGTGATTTTCTATGCTTACGCACGTCGGAGGATTTTCACGAAAGAACGAAACGGCTGTCTTCCAGTCGACACTGAAATTTCAAATGGGAAAGTTTCACAGTTCTTCGTTTGAATGCCATTCTTTCTGGGAAATGTCGTTTTTCCTTTTTCCAAAGCAGATTTCACTTGGTTTTCAAGCAATCGCCGAGTCATCCATCACCTCTCGGCTGTCTGATGTCTTCTGCAATAATACGCCGAAAAGTGATGCTATAGTCTTTCTGACTTTTTGGCCTCTGTACGACATTTGAGTCGAATGCGCCCCTTGACCAGTTAAGGGCGATTGGTGACGTGTCGTTCCGCATGCCTAAGAGCCATCAGGGTTGCGATCAAAGACAAGAGTGAGTCAACGAAAGCAGGAGAATAAAATCGTCAGAATCTTGTACTATTATACTTTGAGCTACTGAACGATAGTCAGCGATTTTTGAGAGCGTTAGCCATTCATCATGTAAAGCGGTCAGCAGGCTTCATTAGCTTCATTAAGCTTTCCATCAATCAAGCAATCGGTAATGCCAACCCATTTATAGACAGTGGGGACTGACTGATCGTTTCGTTGATCTCGCGTACTATACAGATTGGTTGCCGCAGACGAAAATGACAAGTGACTCTTGTGACAACTGAAGTTCATCGATGATCAAGACGAGTAGGTGTTGTGAGTCAAACTAGGGTTTTGTGCCGTATCATCACCATTATCAAAGCTGAGCAGCTTCAGGTCAGAAGCGAGTGCAAAATCATTGAATTGCTTTTCTCTACCGACATGGTTCTTCGTTTCCTAATTCATAATTCAAGAAATGAGTCGCCATATCGACGTGAAACCCTTCATTTATTGAAGCGTTTCACCGCCCGCCCTGATTTAAATAAACTTACGTTTAGAAATTAATTATCTCTTTCAAGTCGTAACTGCATGGAAAGCAAAATTTATAACTGGTAGAAAGTTGACCTCTCGTCAACCGTTCTGATAGCTGTTGTTTGTACCATCTCTGATTCCTGGAGCTTGTGGTACGAATCAAATCAAATCATCGCTGCACTGCCATCAACTAAGAAAGCCATGTTTATATTGAACGTAATGGCTTCATCTTTTCGTAGGCTTACGATGTGTACTGCTTGTTGTTTATATAGTACTGTTGATTCATATACCTGAATGACGAAAGGCAGTTCACCTTGCATGGATTAGCCTAAATATATTTTCTTCTTTAAGACAGGCAGATTATCGATTGAGCTACTTAGACATAAATCGCATAACCAACTTCTTTTGCTTCTTTTCCTGGAACATGCGAAAGCGGATGAAATTACAGTTCGTACATCGGTCCTCTCTCCTAAGTCTTACCTCTACGACTTCAAAGTACTTTGAAGGCGACGACAAGCACTCAGTGTGATGCAGACATCGGAGCTATTTTCTTGTGAAAGCTTGAGAAATAAAACGGATGAGGCAACATTCGCCAAATCATTTGACTAGTGTGACGAGTTACGGCCAAATTCCTTCAGGACGAAATCACAACTCAAACCACCACCCTCATTCTCCGGGCAATGCAACAGATGATCATGTATGAATGCAGAGAAGGCAGAGAATATTTAAGTCTCGGATCGGCGCTGCTGTGATTTGCTAAGATGGCAGCGTACAGCTGTTGAGCATGTGTAAATGTCGTCAACGCTAAGCGAGGCAAGGTTCAAGGTTTGAATGTAAAAAGTAGTAAAATCAAATGAGACTTTTCTAACTCAACGGAGTTAAACGAAAGAAATATGGGCCGTTAGGGCTTAACGATGGACAACTCGGTTTCTACCGAGGAACGGCAAAATGATTTACAGTTGGATTATGATTCCATTATCCACGGAAGAATAGAAAGCAGCGTAACGCAAATTGAGAGCACTTCAGCAACATGGCCAAGACTGGTTTTGAGAGTTTCGAAAAGGTGCGAACTCCATGTGAGGAGAATATATGCGCCAACATTAGGCCATCCTGATGTACAGATTGAAGACTTTCACGAAGAAGCAGAAGAAGTGCATGTATAAGGAACCAGCCACTACAAATTCATCATCATTAATGATTTGAACGTCAGCGTTGGAACGCAGCAAAGTAATCAATGACCTTATCTTCATTTCTATCTTGTATAACCGCTTCTCCTTTCGGGTCGCGACAGTGCTTCCAACATTCCTGATCTTGTTTCAGAGTCTGGCCTTCTGCAGAAGACAAATCGAGTCTAGAGCAGACTCCTTCCATATATTTGCACCAGGTTAATCTTGGCCGTTTTCTGGGTCTTCTGCCAGAAACAGTTGCACGGCCTTCTTCCTGGAGACATGCAATGAATGACATGTCGATGGAGTTCGTTAGGGCGAAAGAAAAGACAGATATTTGCTGAAGAGAACAAGTTACTTATCAAGACCACATTTTTCCTAAAAACAAGCAAAAAAATAGACTAGAAGGGCCCAAACGACGTCAGGAATGGCATCGATTTGATTTTCAGTAAAATGCAGAACACAACGCAAGACGTCGCCGTGCCGATCAGGCTTAATAAGAGAAGCGATAGTCGGCTGGTCAGGTGCAAAGTCCGTCTGGACTCAGTTTTAGAAAGAAGAAAATTATTGAGAACGAGACGCAACATACTTGACGTGTAAACATTTACAAAGAATCTCATGCAATTCCAACTCATATCAAACAACAGGTGCATGTATCAGAATCGCACTAATCTGCACTGTTTCGTGTATATGTATTTGGTCATTCTAAAATGGCCTCTTCTTCCATAAATTAAGTGACAGCAATAATCATGCTACAGTGCATCATCCCAGCAATAATTCCTTAGGAGCATCGTCACCATCTCTTCAGTCCTGTCAATTTTAGTCAATACTTTGAATGGGGAGGGGGATGATTTAAAGATCTGTTGTTTTCTCTCTATCATAGTTAATGAGTTAAACGTTCAGTTTTTTAACATATTGATTATGCAGCTGCTGCTGTTTCGTGAAATCATGGTTCTAAATCTCTGTGATTTTCAAAATCATTTTCTCAGACATCTATGAATCATATCCTCAGATATTCATAGTACTGAAACGAGGTTATCCTACGTCGAAACTATAGGCTTTTTTAGTACAGTTGTTCTCAGTATTAGAACCGGATTGCTTCCGGCGTCGGCTGTGCTACTTTCTCAGCTCTTCATCGTTTCACGCCTTTCTCTGTGCAGTCAAGTGTGTACTTGTGTGTGGCGCAGGAACGATTGCCCTGTGATTCGTGCTCCTCTCTGTCTACTTGCCTACTCTTTCGTGGTCAAACAACAGACCTGAACACGTTTTGCTGAATTTAACTCTCTTGCATGTCAGAGACCTTGACCCACATAGACATTGCTGCTGGAAAGAACTCAAACAAACATGTGCAAGCAAACGCTATTTAAAGAATTTGCGATAATGCAATAAACAAGTTTCAGCAAAGCACATTTCATATTGATTTTTATCTTTGTTGCGGTTTAAACTACTTATGTTTGGTTGAACGGCTCGCATCGGAAAGTTAGAAATCGTAAGCCTCCGCAAAGGCGGGCTGTATGTTGCTGTGTGTACCTGATTGTCAAAGTACTGCATGATTTGCAGCCGAATCGTAGGGAACTGATTTAGTCCTGGTACTCACGGCTGTGCCATGAGATTTAAAATCAGTGTACAGCACTTCATCATTTAATCTGTATAGAATCATGTTCATCACTATCGTAATTATTCTTATCACACTCATTATCATAATAGGCATAACCGTCGTCATCATCATCTGCATTAAGATCAAACTCATTACCGTCACCATCAACATAATCATCGTCATGCGTTTTAGGTGAGAGGGATTGGCATATTAAAAGCTCTTACATGAAGAAAAAAAGAGTTTGAAGAAGATTTGGATTAGAATGAGATTCGGTTCTTTGCGTTCAATATGTATCCATTCCCGACATGTGGTCTTCGATCGAATGATTGGCAAGTTCAGGGTCAAATTTCACCTGAATACTTTA